ACAAGAAAATACTATCACCAAAGTATACCAACATATATATATATATATAAATATATATAAACGGGTTTTGCATTGGGTTTTGAATAAAACATTTATTAAAACAAAGCAATGATAAATACATGCATCTTACTATAAAGATGACCCATTACGTGTGTGCGTGTTACCATTCATCACCCAGAGTTGGCTGCAGTGATTACTGTAATTTTTTGTATGGTAGCTGGAAACTAACCGACGATGTACAGGGGCTGCCTTGTTTTAGGATTTTTGCCCGAGAAGAGGATAAAAACATTCTGAAATAGGGCACATTTCTACTTTTTTCACAGACATTTGGCTTTTAATTTAAATATACAAGTACGTAATCAGTTAAATAAGTCAATTATTACCTTCCGCAAAGCAGAGTACGCAATTAGCATCTAATGGGGTTATTAGGGATTTAATAACAAAAGAAAGAAGGAAGAGGAGCATTATGTAACGTTGTCTTTTATACAGTTTTTGCTTCCTTAACGAGTATCCTCAGTTATTAGTGATATAGAGTATTATCGTTCATCAAAGTGAAGTTAGGTTTAACAGCAGCAAAGAAAGGCCTGACTATAGTTGTGACAGCACTGTATCTATAACGTAAGTATTTAAAGCGCCAGTCTACACATCATGGCAGATGTCTCCTCACTTCATCAGCGAGCCAATACTAAACCTGTCATGCTTAGCTACCATGCAACCTGCCCAGTGTTCTTCAGGTTGTTTCAAGATATGACGAGAGTCATCATGGAATTCAAGACACAACTTGGGCACTAGCGACATCTTTGCTGTTTGAAATAATAATAACATAATTTTTTTTGTGCATATCAATGACGAGAAAGTATTCTTGGTCCTGCGGCAGGATGATAAGGCCTCAAATTGGTTAAGGATAACAAGTTTCACACCGTTTGTAGGGTGATTTGTATTCCTGTCGAGTCTTAGAATATCGAAGTCATTAGAAGTCATCGAATTAGGCTACCACGATATCTCTTCTTGTGTTGCCAGATACCACTTTTTGTTAGCCTTTGACTCTGTTCGTTTTTGGAATATTGTTTATAACCTGTAGATTAATTTTGGTAACACTCAGCATATCTTACATTTCCAAGCATACCAACAGCTCTATTGGTCTCTCTGGTCAACAGTGATATAAATGAATCATACTTAAATTTTTGTTATGGGGATTAATTCAAGAACACCATTGAGCATAAATTCATGTGTCACACCCGGATTAGAAGATTATCTAAGAAATTCGCTAATTTCTGTAATATAAAATTTACCTAGGATCTGACCCCTAAAACTAACACGTGCACACGTGAAACATTATTTACGCATAGTATTGTAACTACGTGTTTTCAGACTTTAATTCAAATTAGCATCTGTATAGTATCTCAAATTCAAAACTTGTGGCTTTTAAAATAATTCTAGATATTAAATTATTTAGTCCGGTATACATTAATGTTTACATAAGTATCATCTTATTTGTTTGTCTGTTTGTTTTAGAATTTTTGCACAAAGATGCACAAAGGGCTATCTACACATAACTGTCCGTAATTTTTAATTGGTAGACTAGAGGGAAGGCAGAACGTTAACAACACGCACAGCCAGCTCTTGGACTACTATTGTCTGACCGAATAATGGGATTTATCCGTCACTCTTATAGCGCACCTAAAACTCCAAAATGCGCAGCGTGGGTTTTTTGCAACAGGAGACGAACCATGAATCTTTGTATTTACAGTCTGAACAAGAGACCTGTTTAATCTCATAGATATGTTTCAGAAAATGGAGATCTTACATGCGCATACCTTCAGCTAATAATTGAGGAACAGGAGTTGACACTTTTAATGTATACCTTTAAAAATTATATAAGGACAATTCTTACCTTTGGTTTCGAAAACGTATGTTAACAATAAGAAAAGCTGACGCCATGACTATTCCCAGGAGTGCAAATATCACGATGACATAATAGATTGTCAAGTTAACTCGAGTGGGTCTAATAACAATCAAAGTTCGATCGACCGGAGGAACATTAGCACCTAGAAGTGACCAAGAGAAGTAAAATTGTGTCAGTCAGTTCAGCAAATGCGGATTAAACGTTTTGGTCATAACAGAAAATGTATCTTTTCTGCAACGTGCTAGTATATTAGATATAATAAACTGTTTATAGATCCAAAGACACGATAAATTATTCAGAATATCTATATCCTATATTGACATACGAGTCGATATCCAATAAAAAAAAAGAATCATTAATAGACTTCAAAACAAAAGCAACAACAAAAAATCTAATAACCTGATCGTTTTCGTGAAGTAGACGTTCCTTCTTTAAAGGCGTTTATTTGTACTTAAGCACAAAGCTACACAAAGGGCTATCTGTGCTCTGCCCACCACGGGTATCGAAACCCGGTTTCTAGCGTTTTAAGTCCGCAGACATACCTCTGTGCCACTGGGGGGCTTTTAGGAGTGAAGAAGGAAGGTCCGCCTTTCATAAGCACTCTCGTTATCATTTTGTGATATATGACCCATCTAGTTAATTTTTGAGTGTCTTTCGTTTTCAGATAACTAAAAGTACTAACTTTAATATCCTCAGCTTATGAAGATTTATTTAACGAGTTTAGAAATATTAATATTCTCACCTGAGTGCTTAATAATATTCAAAAATCTAACTTTTATTGCTGTATTTGTTTTCAAACATTTCAATGAAACAATGATGTACTTTGTAAGGTGGTATTCTAACTTGTATCTTCTTTAAAAATACCACTACTTTTGATTCCTCAACATTATAAGTTGTACATCTTTTTTTTTATCCGATATTTGCTCATGCCTTTTATAATAGAAGGGTCATTAAAGATGGTGTAAATGATAATTTGCTTTTACTCAGCATTTACGCCTTTTATTATTCTTATTTGATTAATTATAAGTTCTCTCAAGTAACTCATCAAACCCCATGTCCCCAAAACACATTCTTCATTTGTGACAATTAATGCTAGTAACACCAACATAATAAAATTGTAAGATATTCTTTACTATTAAGCTTCTTTTATTTTTCAAGAGCCAAATCATATAGCATATACAAATCATTGGAATACGTGGTTCTAGAATTAAAATTAACCGAAATAATGTATATATTTGATTATTCGTATTTACCATTCCATGTTATTCCAGTTTCTCCAGTAAGCTTAAGACTGTTCGAAGTAGAGTCATACTCGCCGACCTTTACCTCAACCCCATCTGGTGAGGAAATTCAAATACTATTAAAGTCAAGACCGAAATTTAATGAACGTGAATTGCTATGTATATATATAGGTGTGTGTGTGTAGATATGTATAATATGTGTATAAAATCTCGACATTTCAAAAAGAACAAAACTGTTGAATTTAATAAATATTAAATGTCGAAATTTGTAACACAAAGAATGGTGAGCAGGTAATTGTAACCTGGATTCATTCTTTGTGTTACAATATTTATATGACGAATTTTAAGTTACAATTACCTGCTCACCGAATCCTAAAATTTGACATATAAATATTGCATACCCTTAAAATATGTACAGTTCAATAAAAGTAACTTACTTTGATATTGTTTAAGAAGAATAAGACCGCGCCTTTCATTTCTTACAAAGCTAACTGGTCCCTACAAAAAATAAAAGCAGCTTGTCAGTTTTTGGCATAATGTTATTTAGCGTACACATATTATCCAAGAAACATGTTTTTGCATGGAAATTTGAGTTCTGAATTTTAAATTTGATATTAAAATTATTCACAGAAATCAGGGCTATTTTGTTATGAAATAGTGAAAAAAAAAAGATTTTAACAACTAAGCTACACAGTATATTAGCTTTTGATGTAAAGGACTTTATAAAAATATATTGTTGTATTATTTATTACAGTACTATTTTCATATATAATTACAGAAGTATTTTTTATCGAGATAACACAAAAATACACGTTATCAAGTGAAAATTATGCTACTGTATTATTCTACAATAATCTATGGAAAAGATTTATTGTATGTTCTTTACAGTGGTACGCGTCGTATCCTTACGAATGTTACTATATACTGTGAAGTTTCAGAAACAGACTTTTTAAAGAAATACTTTTTAAAGTAGAATTCCTACGGTCTTTTTAATTAAATTTCTGCGATTACTAGAATGGAAGCGCCACCTACCGTAACTCCGATGAATGATGTTTTATTAAAGGCCTCTCGGAAAAGAGATCCCCAAAAAGGATCTCTGTACTCAAACATCTCTAGAGTCTTGGAACTTCCAATAGAGAGAAGCCTCCGTTTAACCATCTGAATAGCAAGAGCTATTACCCAAATCCCGTCATAAGCGTAGCCATGGAAACGGTTATTACCTTGTCGGTAACGTTGTTTGTATTGAGCATTATATTCTGCTGATGTCTAGCAATAGATATTAAAGCCATAAAGGGAATTTAAATGAGCAACTTATGGTTGTGTTTAACAACAAACATTTTACGTTTAGTAAAATATAGATTTAGAATTAGATTACCCAAGTAATGTAGACAGTTTGACTACCACAATATATTGACAAGAGAAAAAGATAGGACCAATTAATGCTACTCGTAATATTAAATCAACACTGTCAATGCTTATTATCAATGTTTATTAACATCATTAATATTGTCTTGGATGTGAAGATAAACATTTATGGCTGTCTTACTTACTAGTCTTATTAACATCATTATTATTCTCTTGGATGTGAAGATTAACATTTATGGCTGTCCTACTTACTAGTTTTATTAACATCATTATTATTATCTTGGATGTGAAGATTAACATTTATGGCTGTCCTACTTACTAGTCTTATTAACATCATTATTATTCTCTTGGATGTGAAGATGAACATTTATGGCTGTCCTACTTACTAATCTTATTAACATCATTACTATTCTCTTGGATGTGAAGATGAACATTTATGGCTGTCCTACTTACTAATCTTATTAACATCATTACTATTCTCTTGGATGTGAAGATAAACATTTATGGCTGTCCTACTTACTAGTCTTATTAACATCATTATTATTCTCTTGGATGTGAAGATAAACATTTATGGCTGTCCTACTTACTAGTCTTATTAACATCATTATTATTCTCTTGGATGTGAAGATAAACATTTATGGCTGTCCTACTTACTAGTTTTATTAACATCATTATTGTACTCTTGGACTGTAAACTTGAATATTAAGATGAAATCATTTTTTTTACCCAAATTCGTAAATGAATTTTCAAACTTTTAGTATGAAATTATATAATAAAACAGTTACGATATTTCTGTATATTAAACCATTTCATATAATTTTAAAGTATCAGGTAATTTTCATTTGCTCATCGTCCTTGTTTTTTAAATATTTTCAAGCTATGATACTTTGATTGTGTTATATACAGTTAAATGTGCATGAAATTTCACGCCTTGAAATATATCAAGACGTTAACAAGAGTCAAGACAATAGATAACTGATAAAAAAAGGAATAATTGATAGTAAAACGAAATCACATATCAAAATTCATCTGTTGAACTTACCAAACCTGACACAGTGATATCATTTGTAGAACTAAGTGGTAAAATATCAGTAGCTAAGTAGCCTTTGATGGCTTCCTTAAGATGCGATTGACTACAGGTTAAGTTGTTGGCGTGCTTCTGCCACCAGCCATTGTCATATATCCCAACAATTATCCACTGGTACTTTCTACCGTACAATCCCGTTTTATAGGCCTAAGTAGAAAATATTGTGTAAGATGTTCAAGAGTTACAATTCTAATACGTACATTAAACAAATGTGTCCTGTTATATACATCAAATATCTACACTTATAACCCTATACTGTAAGATGTAAGTCTAAGATGAAACATTTGTTATTAACACTACCAGGCACGTAATCCCGTTCCTATGTAAGTTTAAGATGAAACATTTGTCATTAACACTACCAGGTACGTAATCCCGTTCCGATGTAAGTCTAAGATGAAACATTTGTTATTAACGCTACCAGGCACGTAATCCCGTTCCTATGTCAGTCTAAGATGAAACATTTGTTATTAACACTACCAGGCACGTAATCTCGTTCCTATGTCAGTCTAAGATGAAACATTTGTTATTAACACTACCAGGCACGTAATCTCGTTCCTATGTCAGTCTAAGATGAAACATTTGTTATTAACACTACCAGGCACGTAATCTCGTTCCTATGTCAGTCTAAGATGAAA